TTCTTGAACTAGTAAATCTTGATGATGTAATAGGAACCAATGACTGCCTGTAGAAGTTAGAAAATTGTCTCGTTGAAACAGTTAGTATAATTAATTGTTTGAAATATCAACATTTATGCAATGATAGTCAATTTGTAAAATGTAACCAAACCACTTCATTTTTTTGTGTGTGATTGACATAATTACTGTGTACTTTCTCTAGTGTTATGAGGGCAGTTTCATTACATGAGAAAAGAGAAAAGTTTGATGTAAATATCCAATGTACTCTCGTTTCTCTTCAGATGTTGACACAAGGCGAAGAGCAGCTTGTGAGTTAGTGAAAGAATTAGCCAGATTTTTTGAAGCTCAGATAACACAAGTATTTTCTCAGTACATCACAGCAATGCTACAGGTACGTTTGTGTGTTTGTAGTTTGTTTCTTTCCTGCTATAGCAGAAATTAGAATCAATATAAATGTATCAATGAACCAAAAATAGTGAAATAGTTTTTACTTACCTTCAAAACTTTCATTTTGACGTAAATGTGCTTGATGGGAAGAATTGTAGAATGACCTTTGCACAGTCATCCGTATTAGAAGAAAAAAATTAGCAAATTTATTTAAATTCTTCATAGTTCTAAGTAATTCACCATGCCAATCACAAAAATTAGAGATGTAAAGATTAAATACTCTAAGATTGATTTTATATGTTAGATATGGAATTATTTGAGAGTCATAAAATTTCACATAGTGGTTAGCTTTGATGTTTACTGAAGGTGATGTAATAATTAGGATTAGTTGTAAAAACGTTTTTTTATGTGTGAAGATTATAAGTACTTTTGGTTTTTAAAAAAGTCAAGAAATAAAGTCAGGTTTTTATTTTTGGATCTGTAAAGGTTGTCTTAGTATATATATATATATATTAGTATTTATCTAATAAATTTAAAAAAATCTGATTTTAATGGCAGTTGTTTATCCAGTTAGATTAGGTCAGTCCAATGTGGCAGTGTTTTAATTCAGGCTGAAAATTACTTGAAATTTGATATTAATTTTCTTTGTTAAGAACATACTAATTTGGTGTGTTATAAGATTTTTTGTTTGTAAAAAATTTTTGTTTAAACTTTGTTAAACAGTGTACTCTTCTAGCTAAACAGTCTACTGATGGATTTCTTATCACTAGTTTTTATTATTTTTCAGTGCTGAAACAATAGTTAATTGTGTTAAGTTTTATTAGCAGATTAAATATTCCTAGCCATGAAATTACTTAAATGTTTTTATACCCATTATTGATGAAAAAGAAGTAAATTAGTGGTTTTGGTACCTTCTGTAGGATTGGGAGTTATACTTTGGGATAACTTCTTAATTTTTATTTTTCATATTACTTTGTCTTTATAAGTTTGATTTTTGTTTTTGTTCTCTCAAATTCTTAAATTACATTTATTAATATGTTTTTATTAATTTAAACTGACTGACGTGTCTCATTCCATCTTTTGAGGTTCACAGTAATGGTTTTATACCTTTGGAAGTTGTCCCATTAACTCCACCAAATTCATTTTTGAGGTTTCAACTGAAATAGAATCCCATTTTAAATCGTGTTGAACATTCACTCGATTGGTTAACATGTGTTTGATACCCAGTTTTTATGCAGGTATGGCAGTTTTACCATATCTGTGTCTGGCTAACTATCAGACCTTTAGATATGTATTTTTTTTGGGGGGGGTTCTTAAACTCTTATTAGTGATTGTTCATCCTGCTTCTTGAGATTCACTTCCAGCTCTTGTTATTCTGAATTGGTTACAATGATGCACTTTAGGAGTCAGAATATAGTTTCTGTATAATGCTCTTGTACAAGGTTACACAGTCTTCAGGCAGTTTTCAAGTTCAGAGTAGTACCCCATTTTCTAGATTTGTGAATCAAATATTGCTGTGCTTTCCAGATCTCTTAATAGTTTTTTTCACATGCATTTTGTAGTGGACCAGAGATTTTTTTTTTCTTTAATTTTCTTGTGACCAAGAAAGCTTTAATTCCTTGTCAGCTGCTGTAATTCAATTGTAGATGTTGACTGCATAGAAGTGGGCAGTTCCTTCTTTGCCTATGAAAATATCCAGTTTCAAGATGGAGGATGCTTGGGATTCTGCATCTTTAGTGCATTGATGCCTTTGGTAGCTCGGGTTATCATGGTATTAATGTGGTTGGTGAAGTTGAGTTGTCTGTCAGAGTTTACCCCCTAGGTACTTCTGTGTTTTTTCCAGAGAAATGACAGTATATGCAACAGATGGTGATGGCTTATCTTCATCAGCTTGTCCGTTGTTTAATGTAATGTGCAGAACATGGCTGTGATGTTAGAAGAATTGCACCATTTGCTCACCCCACTAAAGGATAATTGCATCTTGCTTTAAATTTCAGCTTTGTTAGAACCTCTTTAAGCTTCTTTATAGTGGAAATTCTTACACTTCACCCAACTAAGGATGTCTTAATCATCTGCATGTAGTTGTAACTCAGATAGAGACTGCTGTAACTTGACCCTCTCTTGGAATCATCTTGGTCAATGTATCTGTATAAGAAGGCCATGCTTTTTTCTTCATCTGTATGGAGTGGGGGTACTATCATCACTAAGTTATTTCATTCCTGTGTCAGCTATAAGTTTGTTGAAGCATCAGAATGAAGTGACTCTGAGATTGGCTTTGCTGTGCAGTTCATTCCATTTCCTGTCCTTTGCTTTGGCAACTGATTGCCTGTATAGAGCACAGGCTCTGTTCTGTACAGTTTTTGCAGAAGGTTTTGCCTTGACATCGTTTGATGGTAGAGAGGTGTGCTTGAAGGTATGAATGTTGTCAGAAAGCTCACTATCTTTGTTTGGGTGTCTAGATTATTTTATACCCCTAAATATTCCAGTTTTCACATGCATCTCACACATGAGATGATTACTGCTGTCAGTATGTCACCTGCCATGTAGGGATAACACTCAAGGTTGGGTTGTCAAAAACACTCTTGGTGGTTCACCCAAGCCTAGCAGTATAAGGTTGGTGGCTATGCTGGAAAAAAAGCTCTTTCATCACAAGCAAAGCACATTATCTGAGTTAAATAAACCATCATTCTTTTCAATAAAATAGACACTTGTATATATATTTGAAGTTGTAAGTTTTCCATTTCAGAAAACAACTTTATTATAAATAAGGTATGCCACAATGTTTACTATTTACATCTTATTAGATCAGTAAAATTTGTTCAACATTACAAGAGTTTATGAACTCACTCTCATTTTTTTTAAAATGATGTTTCTTCTACTGCATTGTTAACATCAAATTCATTCAATTTTGTGAAAAATTCGGCATTCTTCTTGCTATCAATTATGAGTGTAAAGGCTTTATAGAATATCATGGCTTTTTCAAACTTGAACATCTACATTTTAATTTCTTAGTTGTTTAAGGTAGTATTAAACCACTTTAGTGTACTGACCACAATTACTTTTACCTCCCAGTAGTTTAAGCTCTTACTTGCTATGTTTAATATTAACTATATAGAACAATTCCATATATATTAGAAAATTATCATTTATTTAAGTTTATTAGTTTTTGTTAACTAATTTAATTTTCATATTTACCTTTTTATTATGCATGTTATCTTGATTTGATTGTTGCTTTGAAATGGGCATACTTAGAGCATCTCTAATGGCCCCTTAGAAATCAGGCATTGCCAAGATAAAGACTGTAATGTTTGATTTTCATCCTTGTGTCTTGTTGTTACATATCTGTCCCTTTTTTTTCTTTCTTTCTTTTGTTCTCTTGGAAATCCAACTCAAAGATATTGAATTTAAAATAAAATTGAAAAATTTATTATGTACTGGAAGTTTGTGAATCCCCCCTGTATATCCTGGAAAATGTATATGTTCATCCTAAAAAAATGTATGTGCCTAAATCACCTGCGCTTAGCTGTTTAGTGTATCTGTGTTATATTTTTGTCCAGTTGTGATTTTTCATAAATTGTCGGCCTTGTTTGTTTTGTTGTTTTGTCACCACTGCTTCTTGATTCAAGGTTTCATGATTCTAACTCAGAATGTTGGCTTAAACGTAAGTCTTCTTTAGATATAATTATTCAGAATGTATTGCAGTTTTTTACTGTTACTCCCATAGAAAGTTTAATGGTTTCCCACTTTGTCTTGCACATATCAACACTGAAATAAAAAAATATATTCAAAAAACACCAAAATAAAGCACAACAACACAGTTGTATGATTAGATAAAAAAAATTAATGATATTTTGTTCTTCACAGAATTCACTGAAAGGGATATCTATAAGCTCTTAATAAATGCATGTTTTTTCACAAGTTTTAGCACAACTTTTTTATCAGAAATATAGAAAGTACACTGGGTCCCCATTATAGGTTGCATCAACCTGTGTCATTTTGTTACTAGAGATTCACCAATTACTACCCATGTATCAAACAATGTTCCCTTGTTTCATTACTAGAGCATTCCAAAGTCATTGATTACTTTTCAGTTGTAGTGTTTACTAATTACTACCAATAGTAAACCTTGTTTCATTACTAGTGTTAATTAGAACATTGTCAGTGTTCACCAGTTAATGTACAGTACTGTACTACTAATATGTGTGTGAAGCAACATTGCCGTGTCAAGATGGTGGAGGATGTAAACACTTTGTATTCATGTGCCATTGTCTGAGCACGTTGTTTTTTCTGCTGCAGAAAAGCCTTGTTTCTACTCTTCCAACATATCTCCAAAGCAGTTGCCTAGTGATAGTAAAGTGCCCCTTGCCAAGTAGCCCAGGAAAACAATTAACTTTGGCACTAAACTGGAGATTTTACAACACTTTGAGACAGGTGAACTTGTTGTTGACATTGCCAGTGCTCTAGGCCTGCCTCACTCCTACCACAGTGAGGATGATTCATACAAATGCTGACAAGATTAAGGCCAGTACTCAGAATGCTAAACTGTAGTTAAAAAAGCCATTTTACACCCTTTAGAAAAGTTACTCAAGAATAGACCAAACTTTTTAGGAATACCCCCCCCATAATACATGTAAAGATTGTATTGCTTAATGGCATTTCAGAAGTATGTCTCACTTTCCAGAAATGCATCACGACGTATAACGGGGACTCCCTGTACTGATAAAAGTTAACTACTGTTATCATTAGGGCCACTTAACTTTATTTGGCCTATATAAAATACAATATTAGGAAACCATTATTTTAGTTCAAATAACATTCACGAAAATCTCTATCTACTTACATCATGAATGGGTTAGAACAACTTGTTCTTTAATAATTCGACAGCATGTTTTTCTTTTGGTGTTTCATTCAATAATGTAAACTTTAAGACTCGTATATTTTAAGTTATATTTCTTCTACTTTTAAAGTGATTCATCTGTATTTGTTATTTGTGCAAGATTTTTCTTGTGTACTCAATATATTGTCTATTTGTTTTCATGAATTAGTGTAACTTCATAACTATTAATTTTTAGAAGTTATGTAGGGGGGTTATATATACTGAACATTAACTTTAAGGATTTGTTTATGACTGACAGTTTGTGGTATTTTTTCTAGAGTTGTCAGTCCATTGAGTCTAACCTACAGATTGGTTGAAACCTTAACCAACACATAATTCAAAGTTAAAAACTTCTACATTTTGAAACATACATATATCTGTGTTTTCTTACATACAGTATCTAGTTTGTTCATTACATCCAGATTCATTTTGACAAGAGTCCCAATAGAAATATAATATTTTCAGACTTGTTCATCTCCAAATATTATTTAATGTTTCCTATGACACATTTCCTTTTACCAAATTTTGTTGGCATAAAAACAAATTTTTTGACATTTTTTCTTGTTTGTCTATATGGAAAAAAAATTTTAAAAACTTTTTGGATATGCTCAGAAAAATTACAAGAAGAACACATCTAAATAAATGCTGAAAACAATAAAGAGTTTATTTCTTTATCTGTACTTAAGTCTTATTTTTCTTAATCCATTTAGTCTTGTATTCACAATGCCTCAAAATGTTTTTGCTTATTTCTACTTTTTCATCCACTGGTAACTTTATATGTACATATTGCTTATTCTTTAGACTTATGCAAAAGATCCTTCTAGCCATTGGAAGAATAAAGATGCAGCAATTTATCTAGTCACATCCATGGCTGCTAAAGGACAAACAGTAAAAGTAAGTGAAGATCATGCTTTCACCAAACAGTAAAAGGTCATATATGTATTATTTAGGATGGTTATGTTTATTTAATGAAAAGTATAAAAAAGATGAACATCAGTGATAGCTTAGAAGAAACTAATATTTCAATAAAACAAGGGGGATTTCTCAAGAGCCACGGCGCTTAATTCTTTTAGGCAGGATTAGAGTAAGTTGTTCTATGAGATATTTTTTCTCCTATTTAATTAACTCTATTTTTGTGCATCAGTGTGTGTGGTGCTAGTTGACCCGATTCGATTTTATTACTGATGAGGATCTCTACCAGCCTACCCTCAGATTTAAATTCTTTGAAGCAGGATTAGGGTAAATTAATCTATGAGACCTTGTGTGTGATCAAATACATCAGTTGAAAGGGTTTGATCTCCTGAGTCCAAGACTGTAATTAGATCTAAAATTGGTCAAGATATGATGGAACTATGAACTAAAAGTTTTTTTTTAAACTGGCAATTTCCATAGATAATAATGATTGTTAAATTGTTGTTAAAAAAACTGTGGCATGATTTAGTTGCTTTTTATCATTTCCACTATTGTCTTTGTGTGTATGTAAGCTCATTTCATGTAAGATAATATTCAGTCACACTTACACCAGAATGACTCCCATTTATCTGTGTTAAATCTTTATTATTCCTTTCTTTTATGCTGATTACAAAAAATTTTGTCCACTGCTTTTTAATAAACCTTGAGCTAATTATAGATTTCCCAGGTATCTGATTTTCTCCATTTGTATTAAAGAAAGTTATTGTAATCTCTGCAATACTGTATCTAGATTGCCTGAGCCAGACACTAACAGGGTCAAGAGGAGTTGTCAAGGTTAAATTCATTAGGAGTATACACAATGATACATTTTTTGTCCCATCAGTGCAATCCTTTTCTGGACATAACATGTTATTTTAGTATATTAATGAGAATTGTTCATGTAGCTTGTAAAGAGGACATTTAGAGTGGAGGAGAATCAGATAAAAGACAAAGTTTTAAATAAGTAATGTCTAATTGAATGTTAAAATGTTTGGGAAAGTAATGTGACTATGATGAAAGGAACTCCTGCAAGCTAGTTTATTTTGTATATATGTCATAGCATATGTTACTTTTTTACATCATAGAAGGAAGATTTTTCTTTCTAATTTGTTTAGTTTTGTGTTACAAACAGTGTAGCTCAAGTATAAACAGCACACCAAACTTTATTATTTTACATAAAGTGATGGAAAGCCTGGGAAAGTATGAAGATGATAAGTGATTATTCAAGAAATTGTTTGCAAAGATATAAAACATCACTGTTAACAAAGTAAAGTTTGAAGGATTATTTGTTTCCAATTAAAAACTAAAAATTTGCAGTATAATAAAATTTAAATCATGATGGTAAAATATTACTTTTTGTATTTCTGTCATTATTTGAACACAGATGTTCAAGTTAGAGACTGTTCCATTCCATTTGTTTCATGTGATTGTGAAAACACTTTCTCTGCCAGAAATGTAACATATTAACAGCAGCTTCATCCTTGTTTTGTCTGTGAAATAAACATTTTTTTTATTGCGACAGAAAATTTGTTTCGAGGTTATTAATGTTCTAGTGGAAAAGTATTAAAATCTTAGCATTATTGTGTTAATTAATACTCGATTTTGATATTGGTTTATCATTAATATTTTCTAGCATGGCATTACTCAAACCAGTGAACTTGTAAACATTTCTGACTTTTTTCGGGAATATATCAGTCCAGACTTAGAAAGTCCAAATGGTGAGTTTATATTGAGATTTGGGCAGATCAGACATAGTACATAATATTTCCACTTACATGTTGAAGAAAGCCAAGCGTGTACATTTACATGGGTAAAAAATCTAAAACTTAAAAAATGTATATATATCAAATTAGTTTGAAATTTTCTATTAATACTGTGCAAGAAGTTGAAAAGTAATAAGATTATCATTTTGCATCCATCTTTCTAAAAGATTTTAGTTTGTGTTCTATCTTTTTTCTGGAGAAACAAATTCAACAGAAAACTCATTATGCAGTAGAAACTTCAAACAGTATTATATAACTAAGTACCTCATGTAAAGTTTTTAATGTTTGAAGATTTTCTGTACCCTACATTAATTCACCCCTGTTCCATTTCAGTTAAAGGTTTTCCAATTTTCATTCTTTTAACATCTTGCACTTCAGAAATACAGTTTTTATCCCCTCTGATCAAAAAACATTCAGGGGGTTATAGCAATAACATTGTTCATCAGCACATACATCAACTTTCCATGCAACATCTAAAGTTCTAAACAGATTTTAATCAAACTTCACGGGTCACTACATTTTGTTGATAAGAAAGAATTCTATTGATTTATGAAGTTTAGAGGTCAAATTCAAACCAAACAGTGGTCACTGATGGCTTATTTTTACAGTTTCTTCCAGTGAAGAATAATAATATTTTATATCTGTCTTAAAGTCATCTGTTAAAAGTTAAATTATATGCAAATGATGAGATACATACAAATTATTGAAATGGTATAAATATTAAAAAGCATGTTTCATGAAATGGAGTGTATAATCCCTATGTTGGTAGTATTTGTGGATGAATTTTACAGTTCATTTTTCATTTGTTAAACTCTGTTAACACTAACATTTAATATATTTTTATTGATTTCAACAAAATAATTGAAAAATTGATATAACTGTAATTATGATGTACATACTAGTTTTTTATTGCAAACATGGGTTGTTTGGTTAACATTATCTTAATACTTGTGTATTCAACATAAAGTACAAGTTTTTTTTTTTGTTGTTTTCAAAGTGAACGAATTCCCAGTTCTCAAAGCTGATGCAATAAAGTATGTCATGATATTCAGGAGTCAGGTAAGAAATTGTAAAGATTATAGTACTTTGTTATATTTGTTTTGTTTTTTGTTTTGAAATGGTGAACAACGTATTGTTGTTATCTTTCTACGAGTGTTCATGTTGTATCAGTCAGTGTTGTTTTCTATAGTGGTTTAATATCTTGAAATACGTAAATGGTGTTAAACTTATTGGAAACATAAATCATCACTTTCAGAATAGATAAAACCAGAACTTGTTTGTGCCAAACTAGCTTTATGGTAACTCATTTGCAGATGAGAAAAATTTATTCAGATCTCTGTTGATTAGGGCACTTGACTCATAATATGTGGGTTGTAAGTTAAAATCATTGAACCAAACATGCTAACCCTTTCAACTGTAGGAGGCATTATAATGTGATGGTCAATTGCACTTGGTATTTGTTGGTAAAAGAATAGCCCAAAGGTCAGCAATGGGTGTTGTTGACTGTATGCGTTCCCTCTAGTTTGTCACCTCTAATTGAAGAATGGGAAATGCAGATAGCCCTGAAGTTGCTTTACATGAAATTAAGTAAGATAAACAAACTTTCTAGTGATTTAAATTTTAAAATAACAGAAAGAGTTGAATATCAAAACACAAATAAAAGCAACATAAAGGTTTAAGGATGTAATATTTTCATATGCACAATAATAATATTAAGTTTACTTCTTGGGTAAAAATCGTCAGATAATTTGTTTCTAAATGGTAGTCAGAAAGAGAAACAGCAGAAAATTTGAGATTAATCCATAAATGTTTGTATTTCAAGTGGCATAGAGTTGCATAGTATGAAATTAGAGCTTCAACACAGAAAGTGAGAAATTATGTCTCAGTTTGTATGACACTAAAGTAGTATTTTTTTTTTCTCATACCAGAGTTTGAGAAGTTTGCATATTTTGGAACAGTATGTGTGTGATATTATATTCCAAAAATCATTAACAGATTTAGTCATTAAACAGTCAGTGTAACTGAACTGCCATTAAAAAAAAAACAACATCATGCCAGTACACTTGACACTATTACTTTTTGTTTAACACTTGTGTACTCTGGCATAACACACAATCTTACAATTTGTTTTTAGCACTACTAGTAAACTTTGTACCCTTTCAACTTTAAATTTTTGTTTCTTTGAAGCCTCTATTTTCCATCTATTTGTTTTTGTAGCTAATCATGAAACATTTTATAATTCTCTTTATATTTATTTTTATATTTTGTATAAGTAATGTACCTCATATGTTAGTATAGCTATATAGTTAGTATCATAACTAGAATATAATATTAGAACAATAATGAAATAATAATAATATTCTATACGTTGTTCGAGGCACATTACAGCAGACTCGATAAATAGAACTTTGCAGGTGGTTTTATAATTTAATGAATATTTTAATATCAAACAGTTTTATGTACTAGCCCAGAAAACAATGCAAAAGCAAAACATTGGTTAAAATAAAAGTTCTTTTTTAATTATCTGGAGTTTAAAGGTCGTTTTTTTTTTCTAAAGTTTTTATCAAAATGTGTTAATCCCTCCAGTATGCACTACAAATTTTGAAAGACAACAAAATATATGTCATTGCTTGTAAATATCCTTAATAACAGTAAAACTGTTACTTTCTCTTTCATGAAGAAGCTCAAACATCAGAAAACTCTAAAGCTAATTTTAGCTTTAATTAATCCTGTAATATTCAATTAAAAATATTATCATTTGCCACTTAAACAGTTGTTTAAAATAAAAAAAAGAATATCTTCAATCCGGAGTTTCTTGTATAGTTCAAAATGACTGAATAAATGTGTTAATGAAACAAAAACTAGAGGAAAAAAATTTAACTATTAAATTCTAAATATAAATTAAATTAAAAACAGAAAATGGAGTTGGAAAAGGAAACATTATTGTTACATGTTTTTGAGCCTCTCTGGAGGAATATCGTGCAGAGGAAGCAGTAATAAATATGTATGAATGTGTTTCTAAGTTCTCTGTTAAATGTTTATAACACAGAATTAAGTTAAAATTATGTAAACATAATCTTGCAAAATTTATTTATTTTTGTTTTTTGAATTACAGAGTGGAGAAATTATAGTGTCACGGAAGTTATTAGGAATCTTCATATGCCATCCAAAAGTCATGATATTATAGTGTCACCGAAGTTATTAGGAATCTTCACATGCCATCCAAAAGTCATGATATTATAGTGTCACCGAAGTTATTAGGAATCTTTATATGCCATCCAAAAGTCATGATGCACCAAGTAAACACTAATGATAAAAATGCAAGAAAAAAAGCTGTTTTAACTGTTTTGAATACAGTTTATTTCATATCACTTTTCTATAGGTACTCCCAATATAAATGAAAAGGTCTTCGAGTTCACAAATGTAAATTATTTTCTATATCCATTGCAATTCAATTAATTTATTGTTGTGTATTCTAACAATTGTTTAATAAATCAGCAGCATTTATAGTATTACTGAAGCTAGAATCTAATAGGACATTACTACTTTGTGCGAGTTAGGTTTTATTGCTTGATCATGAGAGGCTCGGCTATCTATTGGCCTTGAAAAACAATGTATGTTTGTATATAAATGATCAGTATTTAAGAAAATAGTAATGTTGTGTCATTAATTGTCCTGTTTCACACCATAACAGTCATTGCTCATAAAAACAATTTATGATGTGTATATATTGATGTAATAGCACCTAGACCACTGCTATGTCTTTTGTATCCCAGTTGCCTTATAAAACCTGGTATTGGTTGAAAAGCCCCATTGACACTGGTTATGGCTGACATAGTTGACATATTCTCCTTTGATTTCACTCTTTGGTTCTTAGGATTACTTTTAGAAATACAGTTCAATTTTATGTTGTTGTTTTTTAATTATAATGTGCTCTTCATCAACACAGATTTATTTATTAATTTCCACATTTAAGCATTTTTTTATTTTACTTAATGTTGATTAGAGTTGAAAGGGGAAAATTTTGTGTCTAGAAAATTGCCCTTTTTCCTTTTAAAAAAGTAGCTTTTTTGAAATAAAACAATTGTATTAAAATGTTTAGATATTAGCATTGTGTTAAGGAATTGTTTACAATCATTATTAGAATGTTCTTTTAGTGTAAAAGGATGTACTTAGTTATGAATTAAAAAATGTTTTTAATTACTTCCAGAAAATGATGGTAGTACATGAATAATAATGTTCTTAAATCTATTTATAGCTTCCACGAGAAGTAGTTCTTGCATGTGTGCCTCGTCTAGTAATGTTACTCACTTCTTCCAGTCATGTAGTTCACACTTATGCGGCCCATGCCTTAGAACGCATTTTCACTCTTCGTGACAGATCTGGAAAACCTAGGTACTTAAAAAAACTAAGTCAAGTTTTGTAAGGATTATTTTTTATTGATATCAAATTGTCAGAATAAACTATTTTGATTACTTAAGAATTGGTTTTATGTTAAATATATTTTTCTTAACAGTGTTAAAAATAAAAAATTATTACTGATGTAATTTTTTTCCTCGCATAAAAAATCTGTTAAAGTATTTGAAGGGAAACACCATTTATACACCGAATACAGTTAATGATTGTTTCATTGACAGTATTTTGCTGGTGACAATGTATGAAACATTTCCTTAAGTTGAAAGTGGTCAGAATTAGGATCTGATTGAATCAACTTGTCTGAAAGAGTTGCATTTGACAAAAAAAGAGATAATTATTAATGAGTGTGTGTGTCTCCCTGATATTGATACAATCTCTGCATTTAAAAGGCACACTTTTATTGAGTTGGCAGAAATTATGAGAAGCATGTCCCATTCCTCAGTCAGTTCAACTTCTAGCTCTCTGACACTATGTGGTGAATTAAGGTATTGTGTATTCAATGTCAAAGTTATTTCTGGCTGAACCACTATCTCTGTACTTTCATATTGAACATAATTCATCATGATTTTGGCAGTATAATACTATGCATAGGATTATCCTGTATTAGGACAAAAATTAGTTAAATTACATATGTGGAAGGTCGTACAATTAGTCTTATATCATGTCTATATATATATATATACACACTGTTGGCCAGTATAGGTGCACTGAATAGTACAATAAGATATGAAGTACATTCGTGTTGATACCTTCCCACACTGAAACAGTCATGGTCATGTTTAATGTTGTTACACTAAACATATTCAATTCTTACTCCCCATTCATGAATTTGTGGATCATTGATACTTGTAAAAAACATGAAAAGTATAAAAAATCAGTCATATTGCTGCTAATTTTAGTGATTTTCACAAAAGTTGAGATGAGATGGGTAATCAGTGGCAAGAATGAATCAAGTTTTTCATTATTAAGTCAGCCTCATGAAGACCCTTTCGCAACGGGCTTAGTATAAAATACACGATTTCACATACACATTTGCAAATGTTAAAGATTCATACTATAACTTTTAATGCAGTATGTGTATCTTCACAAAATTTGTTAGACTTTTAGTAAACATCACAAGTCTTTTGTGCACAAAAAATTAGATTTTTTTTAATGAAGTATTTTTACTAAAGATTTGTTT